GGATAATTATTTGGACACAGAAGCGGGAGAATCATGAGAGTGGGCCGCATATAAATTGATAGGGGACGAGACGAATTGGACACGGAGACTGGGGGATCGGGAAGGAATTGGCGATTAGAGAGAGAGCGAGCAGCAGGCGACACAGGAACAGGAAGCAGTAGCGCTTGACGGCGATCGTGTGCAAGGACAAGCGTTGGTGCAGGTTATTAGCGACAGTGAACCCCTAATAACTGAACCTATTTCATGTGACATAGTAACTTATCGAAGCGACAGTGGATTAAATAAGGTGTTATGCGGTCTTGATTGGGATATCGGTCTTAAGGCTAAATAATTAATTCATTGAGCTACGACAGTAGGATTTGAATTGATTATTTAGTACGTAGTAATTCCCGACAGGGATAGCTAACACAGTAGAGATATCCTGGCTGTAGAGAATTGGATTAAACTGATTAGAATATGTGAATTAATTTGGATGTAATAGTTAGTGAGTCCCAGTGTTTCTCCTAGAGCTTTCTCCCATTGATTTTCTCCATACAGTTTTCATTTAGTTAATTTGTTTATTTTATTTTGCTATTAGATAATAATTATTCTCTCAAACCATTTTCACTTGTAGTTTGCTCCATATAATTGATATAATATAAGGTTGTACCAGTCCGTGAGAGACGATACCCGGACTTTCCGGATTACTGCGAGATAGGATTAAGGCATATACGCTTTTGCCCTATCAAGTTTTTGGCACCGTTGCCGGGGACTGCCATACCTTATTTTTGTTGATTTTTGTGAGTGAACTATTTTGATCTAGGTGTTAGTGTGCAGGAGAATTTTCAGGTTTATCCTCCTCGTGCATGTGGACGACAAACAATTTACTGCCACTAGATCCAGAGATCGAGAAGACCTGCCAACAGAATAGGAAGCAGGTCAAGTTAGGGAAGCAGCCAACCAATACTCCTAGTCCTTCCCTAACCCATAATAGTCAACAGACTAACAGAGAGGGAAGGCTTCATCACCTGTCATCCCTACACCACCACCACCATCGCGCGACATCGAGCCTGTCAACATGGCAGACCAGGATCGTTCGATAAGCGCTCTCTTGAATCGAAGGACTGGAGCCCGAGCTTCATGTGTTGTCATTCCGGCTGGGGATGAAACCATGGAGATTACCCCCTGCATTCATCAACATTCTCACCAAAGGGTATTTTTTCTCCGGGGCTAGCAATGAGGATGCTCACGAACATCTTCGCCGGTTCGCGAGCATATGTGATACGATGAAGAGCCCAACTGTGTCTGATGATGCAATTCGTCTTCGGATGTTCTCATTCTCCCTGATATGGAATGCATCACACTGATTTCAGAACTTAACACCTCGATCGATTACGACATGGGCTCAGCTTGAGAAGATCTTTCTGGATAAGTATTTCGCACCTGCCTTGGCAATGAAGAGGCAAGAGGAAATTGTTACTTTTAAGCAGGCGGATGATGAGAGTCTGACTGAGGCATGGGAGCACTACAACGGGTTGTTGATGAGATGCCCAAGTCATGGTCTTGAAGATTGGAACGTGATCATTATTTTCTACAATGGAATCAGAAGGGAGTTTCGGGGTGCCCTTAATAATGCTTTGCGGAATGGTTTCACAAGCATGAAGGCACCAACAACATATGATCTAGTAGAGAAGATATGTTCAGAAGCCACTGAATGGGGTAGTGAGAGCAGTATTCGAAGAAGAGGAGGCTTGCATGAGGTTGACAGAGCTACAAGTCTAGAAGCCAAGATAGATGCCAAGTTAGATTCTAAGTTTGATGCACTCGAACGAAGACTGGCCAAGATTGCTCTGGGTAGACAAGAGGAGGTTGCTTTATGTGAAATTTGCGAGGGTGCTCATCATAGGGATATGTGTCCACTGAGAGCTGCTCAGTTGGAAGATGTCCAGTATATCAATAATCCGCGAAGTCAAGGCCAAGGTGGTATGTATTCAAATACATACAACCCTCAATGGAGACATCACCCCAATATGTCATGGTCAAACAATAATCCAGCTAGTGTTCGAAACATCCCACCTCCCGGTTTCCAGCAACAACAACCTCAATCAGAGAAGAGGCCCCAGTTAGAGGAGTTGATTTTGGCTCATATGCAGAAAACAGACAATAATTTCAAGGGTCTAAATCAATTTGTCACTCAACAGCTGGCTATCAACAACAACAACGGGCAATCATCTCTTGGTCTAGGTATATAGTTAATTAAAATGAAAGGTGTTGTAGTATTTCACCCAATGATTCTATCTCTCCTATATTGATAAATTACTATGATAACTATTTTGATGCTTTTATTGCCGAAGACGATGTTTGGTCAGTTATATAGTCCTCATTTACTTCTCTTCCTATACCAGGCTTTGAACTTGAATGGGTTTTTGGTCTTCGTCCAAGGTTAATCGTTTCACACATGCAAGTCATTCATTTTTTCTCTTTTTCCCATGGTTTTATCTTACTTATTAATAACAAAAACAACTTTTTTCCCCAAGTTGTATCGTGAGAAGAACATGCAGAAGATTTATTTATTTTGATCCTATTGTGTAAACGATGTTTGAAACCTGGTGGATCTCTTGCGTCGTTGCTCCTCTTTCTGTTCTTAGGTTTCAACTTCAATGATGCTTTTATCTTCATAGAAGGTTCATTGAGTTGAACTGGTAGGCTATTATTCCCTTCCCAATTTATCTAAGTTGTTTGTGATTAATTTATAAAATATAGAAAAGGAATTTGAATGGTGGTTTGGGTGCTTGATTTGTTTGAAATCAAATAGATATTTGGGTAGAACACGAGCAGTTGTACTTTTCTACTCCCTATATACTTTTTTGTTGTTTGTTTGCTATATTTTTTTTGTTCTTTGGTTAGCTATTGAAATAATAAAATAATATCACCATTTTATTTTTCCAGTATAATATTTCCGCTCTGGATATATTTTGTCATAGCTAATGTTCTCCAGAACCATATTTTTCTTCATTTATCTCGATTCTTATGGTCCAGCTCACTTATCAAATTTTGATGTTGTTTTAGGATTAGTTAGACACGATTGATTTTATCGATGTGTTTAGTGTCAATCAATATAATTGCAAGCCACAATGATTGATAAAATTTAGCCTCCACGCAACAATACTCTGGGAGGTGGTGGTGTTGAACTTGGAGTAGAAGAGTTGAGATTAGGTTTGGGGAAGGAAGTAGTGGGAGAAGAAATTATGTTCGGATTCGCTAGCAAGTAAAGTTCAACTACATCAGGTGAAGACAAAGAAGGGGGAGTTGGTGAGGGTAGTGATCAAATTGAGGAGGGTATTAAAAGACATGAAAGTGAAACTGGAGTAGTTTAAGAGAGAGAAGTGAGAGATGATGAGGATATTTATGAAAATTGAGAGGGTGGCATGGAAGTGATCTGGAGTAGGTGAAGGCAGTCAAGGATGATATGAGCATACTGATGGAATTGGAGATGAGGAGTGGCTTTACCGAGCTTATTACAAATGCCCCTAAGGAAGATGAGTTGGCCAAATACAAGAAAATGTTGAGGAGTTGAAGAGTGAGTTGACAAGAATTCCAATTGGAAGAGAAATTGAGGCCCATATAGAGAAGGTATATCAAAGTAGCAGAAATAGAATTGCAGGAGAAGAATTAGAAAATTAATTTTGGGTTGAAACAAATGCCTCTTGAGATTGGAGATAGAGGGGATAAGAAGTTGGTTGTACAACGAATAGTGGTGGCTATTGGTCTTTAGGTTTATGGTTGTGCACCTACCACAACCTATGTTTATCTTAAAATGAGGATCATTTATTGATTTATTAAAATTAAGGTCGATTATCTATTCAAACTAATGGGAGATAAGTAGTGTCTAATTTTGTGTCTTATTAGTTTGATCAAGTCATTATTATATTGGAGGTAATCTTATTTTGTCATTTGCGCTCAACTTTTGATGGTTCCCTTTTAGTTGAGTTGTTAGTATATGGTTGACTTGAATCAACAACTCTTCATTTCTTTTTAATTAGTGGCATGTGGTTCCTAAAAAGAGAGCATTGAACCCTTTATGTAGGATTATGAGATTTTAGTTTTCAATTATCTATGTGCCGTGTGGGAATTCCAGCGAGCTTTTATACTCTATATGTCCTCACAATTAATTAACCAATAGCATTTTAACGGGAGCTTAATTATAATTATGAAATTGGATTAAGAATAAATTTTATATTTTATTTACTTAAATGCTGGTGGTATTTCTTCAAATATTCAACCTATACATTCATTTTTTATGTATCATCTCGATCGAAAGATTGTCAATAAAATTAAACGGATTAATAAAATTAAACTTAACATAAAATATAAATACTCAAATACAAACATTCTGGCCAATTGGCCGGTCATAAGCCTATTATAAGGTAGTATGGAGAGATTGGACAATTGCAATTTCAAATTTACGTTTTTAAAACTTTAAATATGAATTACGAAATTTTAGGCTAAATTGCAAGTTTGGTCACTCTAATTGCTACAAAATTTCATGTTTGGTCACTCGAATTGGTTTATTCCATTCGTAGTCACTTAAATTAGTTGAACAGTCTAAGTTCGGTCACTCTCCGTTAATCTCCATTAGTGTCGTCAGTTAACTACTGACGTGGCTAACAGAATAGCTGAGTCATCCATATTTAACCCAAAAATAATAATAATTCAACCCTGCACGTAAGAAACTCTAACCCGACTGATGTTTTAACCCATCTGATGAAAAAAATCAGACCCGACCCTTGTTGACCTCCGCCTTCTTCTTCTTTACCTTCATCTTCTATCTCCCCAATAGCAGATCTCTCTGTTCGCTGCTGAGATTAGAGATCAAAGAGCAGCGTCGGTGGTGCTGGTGAATCAATGACGACGACGCCTTGGTAGCGATAGACCAGGAGGACCCAGCTTCGCCGGCCGGTTGATTTCTCTGTTCGGCGGGATGGAAGGCTTCCTGGGTTTTGACGTTTTCAGAGTCGCGGATGATTCAGATCTACGAGAGCTACCTCCCTCTCGGCGTCATCCCTTCGTACTCTCTTTCTCTCTGGTGCGGGATGACGGTGGCAAAGAAGAGGTGGAAAAGAAGCCCACCGGAATCTGTGGGTTTCGATTCGGAAAAGAAAGAAGGGTTAACGTCGACGGAGAAGAAGCCTAACGACGCCTTCGTCTTCTCGATTGCGGTCGGGGATCCCTAGCCTTCTTTCACACCTTGTCTGTCGCTGTCAAGGTCTGTGTCCAAAACCATAAACCATCACCGTCGAATGATATGGGAATTGCGTCGCCCTCCATTCCCATTCAATCTTGCCGGCTCTCTCTATCTCGGGATATCGTCGTAGATCTGGGATTATGATTTGGTGGCAGTAATGACGATTGAAGAATTCACGCACCTAGAACCTTGAATCGACGCAGAGGAAATCAATAAGGAAACGTGTGTGGCAAAAAACACTGGAGGTCCGTCACCAGCTCCTTCAGCCGCCTTCCTTTCTCCCTCAGCGGCGCGAACCGTAGAGAGATAAGCAGAAGGCAGAGGAGGCAGATTTTCTGGGTGGGTTAATGGTTTTTTTAGGTTGGGTGGGTTGTGTTGTGTTTATATGAGGTGACATGATTTTCTGATGTGGCGGGTCAATTTATGTTTTTTCTTGGGTTTAAATTGGGTGACTAGGCATCTCTGTTAGCCACATCAGCAGTTAACTGACGGCACTAACAGAGTCTGACGGAGGTTAACAGAGAGTGACCAAACTTGGACTGTTCAACTAATTTATGTGACTACGAATGGAATAAACCAATTCGAGTGACCAAACGTGAAATTTTTTAGCAATTCGAGTGACCAAACTTGCAATTTAGCCCGAAATTTTATTTTGAATTTTATTAATATTATAAAATTAATATTTAATTGCATTAATTTTGAATTCAAATTTAATTTGTGTTAATTATTAATTAATTCCCTGATTCTAAATTGTCCTTTTTGACGGTTAGACAAACTCGGATTTCGTGGTACCCAAATGATCCCCGGATCGTGTTAAAAGTCCAACTGCTACCTTTGGCCCGTTTTATCTTCTGCGCAAAACCGCCACTTCTTCCCCCACCTCTTCGTCTTCTTGCTTGCTCCAGAGAGTACTGCTAGCCGCCGTTTTCGTTCCTTCCACTTTGAGCAGATTCCTAAAGCTATAGCAAATGGCGGGAAAAGACAAGACAGACTCTCAATCTCAATCTCAATCTCAAGCACACTTCCTGACGGAAGATATTCTGATTAACATTCTCCTCAGACTGCCAATCGCTTCATGCATCTTCCAATTCCGCTGCGTCTGCAGATCCTGGCGGATTCTCCTCTCCGATCCCCAATTCATCCGCAAAATCCTCTTCTTCCGAAACCTCGCCGACCAACGATCCCTCCAAATACTTATCGCCGGCGGAGATCTCGACCCAGTCAGCCTCATCTCAAAATTCCACTACTCCTTGCACACCTACGACACCCTCCGCCACATTTCCGCCGCAGCCGCCCTAGCCCCGGAATTGCCCTCCACTCCTGACAAGATTCGCGATCCTTTGTCCCGTTTGACCATCGTCGGTTGCTGCGACGGCATATTCTGCATCTCCGATGAGAATGAGCGGAGCCCCTCCGAAATCATTCTGTGGAATCCGACGACTTTCGAGACCAAGCTCCTGCCGCGTTCCACTTGCCCTCCCGCTCCCAGCGGCACGATCAAGGGCTGTGAGTCCATTGGTCTCGGTTTCGATCCCCTGACCGGGGACTACAAGGTTGTCAGGACGTTGAAATATTCGGGGAATGAGGAAGCTGATAGTGATGATTACTACGACTTCGGCTATGTCTGCCCTCCTGCCACTACTTTTAAAGAGGTAAGATTTTACTCGAATGTGTTGAGTTGCATATAATCAATACATTGTGCTGAATTCAATTTTGCTGCCCTGCTGATGAGCGGGGATCAGCATGGTCTGACATCGTTGGATCGCTTAATCGTTGGATGCACCGTGAACTGTCACATGTGCATTCATCGATCCAATTACATTAGCTTAGGCAAACTCTGAGGTATGATTGTGCTAAGCAGACCTTGCTTAGTTTTGATTGATTATATTGGCTTAATCATTGAACATATGAGAAATTTGATTTCTTCCCCTGTATGCCATTGTGGTCAGGTCTATAGCTTGAAGAACGATTCATGGAAGAGATTGACTGATAAGTCTTGTTCGGTTGGGTGGACGCCTGGATATGTTCATCAAGACACACCACGTAACGAGAAGTGTTACTGGTATTACTCCATAGGAGATGAAAATTTCTACCTTATTACATTTGATGTGAGCAAGGAAGTGTTTAGAAAGGTTACTGTTGCTGCTCCCCCTGGCAAAGATGGATGTTTCTCCCAGTCATGTTTTATGTTGAAGGAGGCACTAGTGACGACTTTCGATGATTTTGGTCCGTTGGAGGTATGGGGGTTGATGAAATATCAAGGTTCTTATCATCGTCGTAGCAATGATCAGAAAAGAAAGAAGAAGTATCGACCTTCCAAGTCTTGGACTAAGCTATTCACCTTTCCACACTATGAATGGCACCGCAACTTAGAAGCCTGGAAGGAGGGCATGTTTATATGCTCGCGACGGGTCACTTCTCGTCATAGTCATGATCCTGAATCGAAAGATACCGATGGAGTTTTCGTTTTGGATCCTGCTACTAGGGAGATCACCGGAGATTGCCTCGAAACTCAAGGGAGAACTCATTCATTCCAAGCCCACACTTACACTCCAACTCAGGTTTCATTGTCGGTTCTGTCGTAACACGACTGTCGACCTCCATGAATGCTACCAAGCACCTTATTGTTCATATGTTTTTATGCTTTAGAACTTTAGTTTGATGTTCGCAGTTTGCCTTTATCTAGCATGTTCCATCTTGAAACAATAGACCTTATGATAGATTTCTTCTTTTCTTTTGGTGAATACTGCATTTCTTCTTCTTCTTCCAAGTTCTGACATAGAACCTACTGCTCTACTACATTTTTATGGGAGTGAAGAGAAATAGCTGAAGGTATTGATCAGTAAAGTTCATTGATAATCCTATCTTGAAGATTGACGTTGCTCCTGTAACTTGAATGAGATTATGAAGTTGGTTTCAATTTTTTTGGAAATGGCTCTCCAATCTCCTCCCACTCTTAAATTTCCTTCTTCTTAATCGACTCTTGGCCTCCATCATCCAATCTTCGTCTCCGACTCTCCGTTCTTCCCTTTAGCAGATTCCTCTGTCTAAGCTTACAGCTAGTAAATGGTCGAAAGTAACTGCAGGGAGTCTCAAGCAGTGTTACTGTCCGAAGACATACCGATTAACATTCTCCAGGGTTGAGTAATCGCTTTATGTATCGCTGGATTCCGCCGAGTCTGCAGATCCTGGCGCATTCTCCTCTCGGATCCCAGCAGCACAATATCATGGATAATAATAATAAATTAATTATTATTATTATTATTATTATTATTATTATTATTATTATTTCTCTTCTGATGGATTATTAGGGTTGTCAAACCTATCTATACCATTACGTCAGGTTAGCAAGTGATATTATTCAATTAGGGTATGATTGGTTTATGTTAAAATACGAAAAAGTGGAAAACCATTAACAAATAAATTTATATTTTAAGACAATATGCTTATAATCTCCATATATATTTGAAAATAGCTATATATATATATTATAAATCTTTTGTATAGTCTTTCACAGTTTTGGATGTCAATTTTCATCTCCCAAAAGCTGTTATCAAGGCTGTTGAGAAACTCTGCAACGATTTTCTGTGGGGGGTAGGAGAAGGAGCTCGGAATAAGACGGTGGTAGCTTGGTCTAGAATTACTTATCCTAAAAGGGAGGGTGGTCTAGGGCTAAGGGATATGGTCACATGGAACTTTGCTTGTGTCATACAACACATTTGCGCTATCCTTTTGAAACAGGGTTCTCTGTGGGTTGTCTGGCTTTGGGAATACCGCATTAAAAGGGAGGATTTCTGAACTCTAGCATCCAAAGCAGGTTCCTAGTTATGGCAGAAGCTGTTGAAGAGTAGAGACAAGCTTCGAGTTTGGCTCTTAGTAGAAGCTGATGGGGTTATTGGAAGGGTGAGTTAATGGCCAAATACAATATCAAGAAGGTATGAGAGGAAATTAGACCTAAACGAAGCCAGGTTCATTGGTATTCTCTGGTTTGGAAAGGGCCTAGCATTCCAAAAAATCAATTCCTGGTGTGGTTGATTGTAAATGATTATATCATAACTAGGGACATAGCTCAGGAGTGGGGTGGAGCTGACAACTGTGGTTGTGTCTACTGCTCAAGTGGCCTAGAAACACGTTCTCACATGTTTGTTGAATGTCAAGTGTATAAACAGATGTATGCAAATGCAACTTTGTTTGCCAATTTTGCATATCGAAATCCTGGAAGTCAGTGGTTGGATGAACTTCAATGGGAAAATCTTAAGTTAAAAAACAAGGCTGTTGTATCTCAAGCTGGGAAAATTAGATGGCAGGCTCTGGTTGCTACCACTTGGAGGGAGAGGTGTCTTGTCAAGTTTGGTGGAAGAAGGGCTGATATGAATGAACTGATAGTCAATAGTGATTTGAGGATGGTTATAGATCCTTTCTATTGCTTTCATGTCATCAAAAAGTACCAGGTACTTTACCGGCAACAAACTCTCCCAGTTGAGCTTGGAAAAAGATATTCGATTAGGCCTTTATTTCAATTGGATGTATAATAAATAATTTTTATGTCAATTTATAAACAAATGAGTGACGAAACACAATTCTCCCAAAAAACACTTACCCTTAACGTGTTACAATTCCAAATCCGGCATAAATGGAGTGAGTCTCCACATTTGGGAAAAATCTGCAAAAGAATCCCAAAAATTGCGGATGCAAATGTGGATTCCTCAAAAATAGGGAGGGGTGTGCTAGTGGGCGGGACAACCGCCAGCCCGCCACCTATTTTTTTCTATTTAAGATGTTAGAGGTTAATTAGGGTTTAATTAGAGGATTAATTAGATCAATAATTTTAAAGTGTTGTGTATAAGTAAAATTAGGTCAATTCGGTCTCGAAAATTTAAAAAATTTGTTCGAAAAATTTGTATTTAAAAATGATGACGAACTACACAAAAATTAACATGAAAAAATTATATTAAGATGATCTTAAGTACATTTTTAAATAAAGAAAAATGATAAAAATGAGGATCATCTCCAAATTTGGAATGGAGCAAAAATGATGAAAATTGGGATCATACGCAAATTTGGAGATGAAGGTCTCCAAATTTGGAGGCTAGCATTGAAGTTGATTTCCATACAGATGATTGTATGAGTCATAGTAATGTCAATTATTTTTAGTATTCTATTTTCGTGATGGAGTTTTAACAATTGACTATAAATTAGTACTTTTAATAGATTTGGCCATTATCTTCCATATAAAATGAAAGGTTCTTACATAGTACAAAGTCTAATGAATTTGAATTAAGTAAAAGTTTCTCCTGATAAGGGTGATCTGTGACCGACGGAGAGGCCGCCATGGCGGCGAGAAAACCCTAACCAGAGCCCTGACGAGAGAGAGAGAGAGAGAGAGTCATTTTTTGTATCCAATTACGAGTCATTTTTTTTCCTGACCTGGTTTAATTCTAGAATAGATCAAGTTATTTTCGTATGTATAATTTCTTTTTATTTTTATGAGTTCGAGATTGTATTCTTCGTTTAGAACTTGTAGATATTTCTATCTATACAAAGAAAAATATCCGTTGTGATAAATAAAATTATATCTATGAAAAAAATGAAAAGAAAAATTGTGGAACACTTGCCGAAGATCCATCTCAAAAAATTCAAACAAAACAAATCAGCTGAACTTTAATTGAATAAACAAAGTGTTCCAAAACCGAATCTTCTTAGACTCATAAAAAATCTGGTTAATTACATGGTTAGTCACTGAGATTATTAAAAATGTTCATGTTTGGTCAATCAAAATATTTAATTTTATTTGTGGTCCCCTAACATTAGTTAAAAGTTTCAACTTTAGTCACTTTCCGTTACCTTCCGTTAGTTCCAGTTAACGGTGTCAATTTTTCGCTGACATGACTAACATAACTTCCTACTCAACCAATTTAAACAAAAAAAAAATCTAATCCGCCACATCATAAAACCTGCCATGTCATAAAATCAAAACCCTCTTCTTCTGCAAATCCAATCTCCCCTGTTCCGCACCGAAAACTTCATCTCCTTAATTCTGCACATGGCTCCTTATCCTCAAATCCCTCTCTCCCAAACCCTTTTCTTCTACAATTATTGATTATGAGATTTCAATTTGGAGGATTGGGTTTTGAGGGGACTGACGGAGATTGTGAGGAGGAGGAGGGCGGCAGAAAGGAGGAACAAGCAGGATGTCATTTTTAAAGGAGATGTGGAGATTGGATGTTTTTGGGTTGGAGTTAAATACAGAGATGATTTTGGAGAAGGAAGGAAGAAGAAGTGGAGAATGATCGGGTGAGAAGGAAGAAGAAGAAGAAGTGGAGAGCCCTCAACCCTTTTGCAGTGATTTTAATGTGTATTTTTTGTAAGTTGGCCGGTTCAATTCATGGTTTTGGTTAAGATTAGGCCATTTAATGTGCTTATGTGATAGGTTGATTTTTTTTGTTAAAAGTTGGATCACTCAGCATTTCTGTTAGTCACGTCAGCAAAAAATTGACGCCATTAATGGAGACTAACGAAAGATAATGAAGAGCGATTAAAGTTGAAACGTTTAACTAATGTTAGAGACAACGAATGAAATTAAATATTTCGAGTTACCAAACATGAACAAAATGGGAAGGTAGGGAGAAAGCACCAGCACATTCTCAATATTGCTCGTGCTTTAAGATTTCATGCAGGTGCGCCGCTCAATTTCTGGAGCCATTATGTCCTCCATGTTGTTTACATAATTAAAAAACTCTGAACTCCTGTCATGCATAATAAATCTTCCTATGGAATTCTGTACCAAACTCCTCCTTTCCTAGGACATTTAAAAGTCTTTGGATGCTTTGCTTATGTTGCCAGTCCTGCTCCAGGAAGAACCAAACTAGATCTTAGAGCTAGATGGTGCATAGGTTTAGCAACAAGAATCCAAGGGTATAAGTGATTTGATATGAATCCCCATGAATTCTTAGTGTCCAAGGATGTTGTGTTCTATGAACATATTCTCATTCAAAACATAAAAATTAGTTTATAGACCAATATCTAATAGGATTCAAGTCCAGTGTTTCCATCTCCTTCATATGATAACTTCATTCATCCAATTAATAATCCTCACTTCAATTAGGGTAATGCCAGCAATCTTCTAATTAGGGTAATGTCAGTAGTCCTTCTCATGATACTACTTCTTCTTATGCAGTTAATATGGTTACTGACTAGCTAAAACTAACACAATCAAACTACGATCAAGTGTAATCGCAGTCTAGCAATGCAGTATAGTGGCTCAGGTTCCATTTGTCAACTCGGGTCCTAGGTCTACTGATTACTCCGTGCAAATCTATTATTTAGTGGTTGATTTTGAGTGAAGAGTTCAAAAGCAAAGTAAACAGAAAGCAGGAAATGTCCTGGTTTGAAGTATGCAAAAGGTCGTCCAAATATGAGTTCCCCTGGTCTGCAGTTAGTTCAGATTACAATCCCCCAATTCTTTTCAATTGACAGATATACCGCGTAAAGTTCTTGACAAGTCTAGAATCTCGCCTAAAGAATTCCAGACACTCTCAGTTTGAATACCCCACGAGCAACTAACCTCTACCAGTGTAAGCTAACTAAGACAGTAACACTCTAAACTTCAACTACTGGCTTCAATTCCATTGCAAAGCAGTGAATCGATTCCTCGACTAAAGTAATCGATCCAATATTTCCAATTTAGGTTGCTCTATTAACCTATGCAGATACTATCGTTCTAGGTCAAAGCATGAATCACCAAAGTTTGATAAGGAATCATGACTCATGCAATTCTGAATAATGCCTCAATTGAATATATCAAGTCACTCATTCACAAAATTGGGTTCATACAACCATTCCTAACATACACTACTAGGGTTCTTCATACCCAGATGAAAAGAGAGTTTACTCCATGGAAAGAAGAGAAATCACAAATCTTGGAAGAGAAATCATCATGTGAGGGATGGGAATCTGCTCAAGGCTAGAAATCGGCACTCAGAGGGTGAAAGATCAAACTCCAATGTCCTTAGATCACTCAAAAGTCAAAACCTTTCCCAAGGTTGTTCTTCATCACTTTCTCTCTCTAGGGTTCTCTCTAGCTATTTTAGAACTTGAAAAAAACTGATCCGGATCAAATTGCCCAAGTTGGCCTTTTGTATGTGGGAGAATCGCGAGTTACGGCTACGGTTACGGCCGTAACTTTCGTCCTTTGCCCGTAACTTCTCAAAAACATCAATGTTTCTTTACCCCCGTAAACCAAGAGTTACGGTCAAGTCCATAACTTTGACTCTTTGGCCGTAACTTTGAAAAAGTTTCTATTTCTCCTACTGTGAAGCTACGGTCTGGCTGAAGAGTTATGGTCCAGGCCCTAACTTTGTATGCATGGCCGTAACTTTCAGCTGACTTCTGTCAGGCGCTCCAAACGTCACGAAACTTGCTCCAAAGCCTCCATTCACGTACTAGGAACTGAAACATCATCAAAAAGCACTACCTAGCGTAAAACAGGCCACAAAGCAATCAAATGCTAAGCCAAACGATTAAGAAATCTCTGGAAAAACATGTGGAAATACGGTGTTATCAGTTGCACAGAAAGCAATTGGATGCAAGTGGGTGTATAAAATCAAGCTGAAACTAGATTGGAGCATAGAGAGGTTTAAAGCCAAACTCGTATGAAACGGTTTTACTCAAGTTTATGGAGTGGATTTTCTGGATATATTATCACCTGTTGCCAAAAACAACTTACCAAAGACTTATTCGTTGTTGTAGCAACCAAAGACCTGCACTTGCATAAGTTAGATGTCTCCAATGCATTCTTGCATGGAGATTGGAAGAAGATGTGTATATGCAGCTTTCACAAGGATTTCTAGTAGGAAGTAACAACAAAGAAATGGTTTGCAAACTCAAAAAGTCAATGTATGGATTAAAACAATCCAGTAGGCAATTGTTTCCCAAACTGAGTGGATCACTTTTAAAAAATTGTTTCTCCCGTTCTTCTTCTGATTGTTCCATGTTTGTCAAGTGGGTCTAGGATGGATTGTCATTATACTTGAAGGTCCAAGGATGGGAGACTTGGAAACTGTAAAGACATTTCTAAAGCATGATTTCAAGCTTAAAGATCTTAGAAGTATGAAATAATTGTTGGGATGAAAGTCGGAAGGAATTCAACTGGGATAACAGTTTCTCAAAAGAAATATTGTAATGGATTTGCTAGCAGAAATAGGACATGTAGAAGCTAAGAGCTGCAAGAGTCCAATCGATTGCAAAATGAAATTGAGTGCAAATTAAGGTACATTGCCAGAAGATCCAGGAATGTAGGAAAGACGGGTAGGAAGGCTGAACTACTTAACGGTGACAAGACTTGATATTGCATTTCTGATTCAATAGCTTTACCAGTATCAAATTCAACCAAGAGATACTCATTTGTAGGCAGCATTTAGGGTACTGAGGTATTTAAAAGGAGCAGCAGGTCAAGGGTTACATTTCAAAGCTAATTCAGATTTGGTAAACTCTCATAGTTCTCCGCCCAGCTCCAACTACTTCTTCGTAAGTGATTGCTCAAGGCATACATTGATGCTGGTTGGGCAACACTCCCTGATACAAGGAGGTAAATCTCTTGCTATTGCACCTTTCTAAGTGGCTCTATGAGAACTTGAAGAGCCAAGAAGAACATAACAATGTCTAGATCAACCTCTTAGACAGAATATCGACAATTTGCTCATCTGGTGTGTGAGATACAGTGGTTGAAGTGCTTGTTGGCATAAATGGATGTGAATATAGTGATATACAAATACAAGTGACCATTTATTGTGACAATATGTATTCAATACAGATTGCAGAAAATCCAGTTTATCATGAGAGAACAAAACATATTAAAATTGATGTTCATGTTACGATGGAAAGAGTCAAATCTGGCTTGATCAAGTTGAAGTTTGTGTGAAGTTAAGAGCAGATGGCTGATTTTCTTACTAAAGGTCTGAGCGTATATAGATTGGATTATTTTCTAGACAAGTTGGGCATAATGAACATATACACGTCAACTTGCATGGGCGTGATAAGGTCAGAAGGGATGCTTGATCTCAATGCACAAGAACAAGCTCCTCAAAGAAAAGGGAAGGAGAAGGTAGCGACCATTGAAGAAGACCTATGAATCTTAGGGTCGCGTGAAGGAAGAAATATCTCAATGCTTAAAGTCATTTATGTTATGCATTGTCGTTTTGGTTATGTAATAACTTAGTGATGTTAGTTTGTTACGGACGAATGGGAGCAAGCCATAAGTCTTGTTACCGGTTATAAACATTAGTTGTGGAACCCATTAAAAATTGAAGAAACCTAGCTACGGAGCAAGCTGAGGATTTGACACATTGCTCCTCCATATTCTTACTTCTTCTATTTTCCTTTAAATCTACAAGCATTTTTCAGAATCCGAGAGAAATGGGGTCTTCCAAGCCATCTTTAGAATCCAATTGTGAAGGGGGATCGACGACATTACCAATGATAGCCTTACACAATTCATCCCCCAGCTTAGTAGGAGTCTCCATTTGATCAGTAGAAAGAGAGGTATGCTCCTTAGTGGACAGGAGTAGCTCTGGAAGATACATGCCAAATGCCGATATAAGGTGATCGCAAGCCTCATGAATGGCATCCGAGAAACCCAGAAATCGCCTAGCCTTCTTGTCTAGTGGGTGAGGATTTGGTGATGAGGATATATCAGTAGCCACATCATCAATTGAGTGTTGTCCATCAATCTTGAAGTCCTCCTCCACGAGGCCAATGTGAAGGGAGCAAAGCGGGCAAAGAGGCAATGGTGAAAGATCAACCGTCAGGCCTTTGCTTCCCACGAGCCTTCTCGGTAAAGGCATGGGATGATTAGATTTCAGCCTTTAGCAGGCGTTGTTTCCTTGTATGGAGAGTTGAAGTGGTCGTGACAAAACAAGCCACAACGATAGCAGACCGGTGACAGGTGCTCATAGCAGAGGTACACACAGAATTTGTTTCCAACATCAACTTCACCTATTAGTCGACCCTAGAATGGCTTGGTAACGTCAATTGTAACCTTTTTCTTGAGATAAGCTAACGTATCCACGAGAACCAAACAAGCCTACGCCAATGACCTCTCCCAGACCCCAATTGATCCATGAGTTCGCGTTCAAATTTTATGGCGCAATGATCGTGCATAACACTTTCGAGTTGAATGTAGAAATACATGATAGCCATTCATTCAAAAAGGTTAGGCGATGGCTTCTCCCATGGTAACAGACAAATTAGGTACTTACGGAAAGCCAAGGTTTCTTATTGTGAATCCCTTCACGGTCAGATTCACTAGCAAAAATAATTTGGTATTACTCGTGTCTAGCATCATAAACGAGAAGGCCTAAAGTTAGACCCCATAGTTTGGTAAGAATCTATTAAATGATCATATTGTTGACCCTGAAACGACGCAGTAACTATCAAAATGGAGCACTTCACAATAATGTCGTTTTGCTACACCTCACAACGACGCCGTTTCACTACATCATCCTTCGAAGTCAAGAGAGGACTCCTCGATTGATGATCTCCCTGATCTCTTCTCTTGATCGGTCTCTTTCAACAGAAGCTTCAGCTTTCTCGAGCCTGCTCCACCTAGCACCGTCTCTATGATGATGAATGATGAAGACTATGGAAGGCTCCCAATTAGGTAACGGTCATCTGCTATTAACACTATAAATTGTAAGCCTTCTACTCAATAGAAAATTGACAGTTAGTTGCGAGAGCTTCTGGGTTTGAAACTCTTCTACTTTAGGTCAATGATTGTAATTGCTTCAGTAGATAGAATCACAGTGTATGGGAGTGTACTGGGTGATTTGAATATTGGGAAGTGAGTGTGTTGAGTGTTGTTTCTCAAAGAGCCAAGTCACTTGGCTTGGCTAGAGTTCATTGTGTAGTTTGATCTTCATTTGCAAAATCAATAAAAGTGTCTTTCTTTTCTTTACAAGAGATCATCTTAGAAAAGTTATAATCATAATCTCTTGTTGAGTGCATCTCATATTTTGAGTTTACAATTGGTATCAGAGCCTACTCTTTGTGGGATTAATCGTCTCCAAAGAGAAGGTCTTGGGATGTCAGGAACTTCCTCAACTGCAGTGGCATACTCCGCAAATACAAACCCTCCATGGTTTGATGAAACGGATTACACCGTTTGGAAGAAAAGGATGCGGTTATACCTTCATGGAATTGATGGAGAATCGTGGGCAGTTGTCAGAAAAGGGGCAATTCCCATGGAGGATTAAGATGAAGAAGACTGGAAAGAAGAGCAGATAATCTCCTCTCAGCTTGATTCCAGAGCTATGCATATTCTATTCTCAGCACTGAGCCCTGAAGAAAGGAGTCAAGTGGTTCAATGCGAGTCAGCCAAGGAAATATGGGAGTCTCTTCAGACAACCATGAAGGTACGTCTGAAGTTAAAGAAAGTAGAATAGATGTGTTGCTAAATGAATATGAATCTTTTGAAATGAGCTCAGGGGAATCAATTTCTAGTATGTACAAAAGATTTCAATGATTTAATAAATAGATTAAAAGGTCTAGGAAAAGTCTTTGAAACAAAGGATTTAGTTAGGAAAATACTGAGATGTCTTCCTAGAGAATGGTTACCCAAACGCACCGCAATTGAAGAAGCTAAAGATTTAAAGGCGTTGTCTATTGAAAGATTAGTAGGATCATTGTTAAGTCATGAGGAAGTTCTAATACAAATGAACAAAGAAGATCATAGAAGAAGAAAAGTTATAGCATTCAAAGCTCAAGAGTTTGATAGTGACTCTGAAGTAGACATGGGAGAGGAATTTGAAAAAGAATTCGCCCTAGTCAGCAGAAAATTTCATCGAATGTTCAAAATAAAGAAGGATTTTCAGGCAAAAAGGGCATATCATGATTCCAGAGGTTTCAATAATCACTCTTATGACTATAAAAGAGAAAGGGAAGGGACTGAAAAAATTCCCACTAAGACTAATGAAAGATATGCATCAAATAGATCCTATTTTGAGAAAAACTCTCCAAAGTCTTATGACAGATTCTCAGAAGGTTGAGAAAGGTTCAGAATTGATAAGGAAGACAATAAGTCTTCCAATGAGAGGGATTTAACCATCTGTTTTAAGTGTGATAAGCCAGGACATATGAGATTAAAATGTTCTACTAGCATCAAGACAAAGGAGAAGGCACTTGCAGCATCTTGGAGTGATTTCAGCTCAGAAGAGGAGCAAGAGGTAAAAAACCTAGCATACGTGGCTTTTGCAACCAAAAGTGAAAGCGACAGTCAATCTTCAACTAGCCATGACCAACTACCTCCTTAATGCTACCAGGTAATTTTTGACTCAGAATCAGAAACGGAAAATAAAACTAAACCAAATACTGAGTTTTTACATGAGTTAGCAAATCTTCAAGAAGAATGTAACAGACTCAAAAGTAAGTATTGCATGCTAATGACTGATAATCAAGCCCAAAAAGATGAAATTTCGACTTTAACTAGATATTTAAATGTTCAAACTGAATGGAACAAGGAACTGAACAAACATGTCTTTGATCTCAAAGATGAAAATCAAAGATTAAGAGATATATGCAAGACCAACTCGGGTCTTGTTAAAAAAGATCATAGTATGTTCAATTCAAGTTCTAATATGAGAACTCCTTTTCAAAGAAGGTTTACTAAGCATCATTATGATGAATATAATAAGTACTCAAAATACCCTGTAATTTTCACCTGTTCCTATTGTAAGAGAAAAGGACATGTGGCAAAATTTTGTTATGATTTAAATCCCAGAAAGCCAGTTGTATCCAAAACATTTTGGGTACCAAAATGTCCTAACCTATGACTGAATGCAGAGTTTGGGAGAAAATGAAAACACATGGTTTCTGGACAGTGGTTGCTCCCACCACATGACAGGTAAAAAGAAATTATTTTCTTCTTTAAGTTACAAAAAGGGTGGTAAAGTGGTATTTGGAGATGATCGTGTAGGAATAATTATGGGGAATGGAACAATTGGTAAGAGTCCTCTTCCTACTATCAAAGATGTGTTATTTGTTAAAGGTCTTAAGCAAAATCTTCTCTCCATTAGTCAATTATGTAATTCTGAAAACATGGTCGTTTTTGAATCTTCCTCATGTGAAATTATCAGAATAAAGGACAACAAACTACTATTTAGTGGAACTAAGAGAAACAATATGTATGTAGTGGACTTGAACTGTCTAAGAACATTTAATGATACTTGTTTTCAAGCTAAGCATTGTGATCTTGAGATGCTATGGCATAGGAAACTTGGTCATATAAGTCTTTCCAAACTGTCACAACTGTCTAAATTAAAATCTGCACGTGGAATTCCTTTGTTAAGAGAAAATCCCAAGTTTTTCTGTGATGCGTGTGTTGGAGAAAAACTAGTCAAGAAGTGTTTTAAACCTAAAAAAGATATAACCACTTCTGAACCATATGAACTGATTCACATGGATCTCTTTGGACCAACTAATGTGGTAAGTTTGGGAGGTAAGTCTTATGCTCTTGTACTTGTTGATGATTTCTCTAGATATACATGGGTCTATCTTCTTGCATCAAAGGATGAAGCTTTCATCTACTTTAAGAATTTTGTGAACCTAATCTTGAATGAATCCAAAAATGGTATTAAATCAATTAGAAGTGACAATGTAGGTGAATTCATTTCTGAACACTTTAGTGATCTGTGTAATGAAAGAGGAATAAACCATACTTTTTCAGCTCCTAGAACACCTCAACATAATGGTGTAGTTGAAAGAAAGAACATAACTATATTTGAAACTGCAAGAACGATGTTGCTGGAGTATGGTACTCCTAAGTTCCTTTGGGGAGAAGTAGTTATGACTGCTGTCTATGTGATAAATAGGGTATTGATCAGGAAATCCATAAACAAAACCCCTTATGAGATCTTAAAACAAAAAATGCCTGACTTAGGATATTTTCATCCATTTGGATGTAAATGCTTCATTCTAAATACTAAGGATCACCTATATAAGTTTGAATCAAAATCTGATCAAGGAATTTTCTTAGGTTACTCACTTAAAGGGCAGGCATACAGAATTTACAATCTCAGGTCCAAAAAGGTTGAAGAGTCTGTGTTTGTGAAATTTGATGAAACTGGAAGTACTAACAAAGTCTATGTTGAGAGTATAGATCTTTTATTTCCTCTGTCAAATGAAAGGGAGATCTCTGAAGACCATCTCAGAGATCTATCTCAAGAAACGATTAAGGAAGACAAGGATGAAACGAGTGGTGAGTCAAGTATAGAAGAAGAAAAGAAAGCACCACCACATATCCAGAAGAGACATCCTCCTTCACGAATCATTTGGACAACTTAATGCACGTATTCATACCAGAGGTAAGTACCAACCAGGTCAGTACACTTTTGTTTCTCTGTTAGAACCTAGAAATTACAAAAAAGCTTTATTAGATGATGAATGGTTGAATGCTATGCAAGAGGAACTTATACAGTTTGTTAGATTACAAGTATGGGAACTAGTTCCTCGTCCTCTTGACAGATTAATTATTGGTACAAAATGGGTTTTCAGAAACAAAACAAATGAGGTAGGGGAAGTTATTAAAAATAAAGCCAGACTTGTGGCACAAGGTATTTGTAAGAAGAAGGAATAGACTTTGATGAAACATTTGCACCTGTCGCGGGAATTGAATCCATTAGAATGATGTGTGCTTATGCATGTTATATGAAAATTCCCTTGTTTCAAATGGATGTAAAGAGTGCATTCTTAAATGGAGAACTAAGAGAAGAAGTCTATGTGAGTCAACCACCTGGTTTCGTTGATCACAAATACCCTGATCATGTTTACAAACTATCAAAAGCTTTATATGGGCTAAAAGAAGCCCCTAGGGCATGGTATGAAAAACTATCCTCCTTCTTGAGATCTGAAGGGTTCAGTCAAGGAAATGTTGACAAGACACTTTTTATCAAGAAAGAAAACACTGATACATTAATTGTGCAAATCTATGTAGATGACATAGTTTTCGGATCAACTAATCCATCTA